GCAGCCTTCATGAGCCAAGGAAGAAACACAGAAGAAAGAAAAATTATAAGACAGTGCGGAAAAGGGGAAAAAAATAGCTGATAGGTATGAGATTATAGTATAATATAAACTCAACACAACTTGCCACAGAATATGAACAGAATGGCTAACTTCGAATTGTTTTCCAGTATACTCTAATGTCATTTTTGTTACTTATCCAAAAGAAATACTTCTTAATTTTAATTATTTCTTTTAACAAAATATCCTTTCAATTCGCACAAGATTTAGGTACTAACCACCGATCATTTTTTTGTTGCCAGTATGTATTAATAATGAACCAACTTTAATAGTCGAGTCATTTGGGCATACTCATAGGCATTTTAACACTACTGGGTAATTTGCAAGACCTGACAGCCATATTTCAGCTTGTTGGAGCATTTGGTGAACTATTGGCCACTGAGGTGATAACATTAAGAAATAAAGACAGAAAAATTGTTTCAAAGTTCCTAAACATCACAGACAGAAAGAAACATCAGACACTCAGAAAAATAAATCGTATCAGTTAACTTTCTTTCTTTTTCTAGAAGGAAGAATAAGGCAGCAGAATTGGACCGGGCCCTGGTACTAACAATGGATAGGAGAAACTAAATTTTTTTTCAGTGAAACTTGAAAAATTTTCTTTTGTATAAGGAGTATACAATTGAAGAACAATTTTTCCAGACATTTGAAACTATTTACTTGATCGCTGAGGTCATATCAGTAAGATTTCATCTATTTCGGATTAACAAAGAGTTTCAAATATACAAAATACTAAGATAACATTATTACCATTCCGCCAAAGCTTGTGAGTAGCAGACTTTTCCTTCCCTGTCTGTCCATCAAGGAGGATGCAATAGCTGTGCCTGCAGGTTAATTACATTGACAGTAGTGTTCAACATTGTATACAGAATTTCAATCAAAATTTCCATACATTTAATATAAACAAATGACATACACTAACCAAAGACATTTGATGCCCCAACAAGAGCGCTTGCTGCAACATCAGAAGTAATTCCAGCACTACGGAACACGGAAGTAGAATAATACACAACAGCATTTATCCCAGCCAACTGTTGGAACAAGAAAAGTGCAGCACCAACACTTACAACTGCAGCAAGACGTGTGAATAAAAATAAGTAATATTCATAGGTTCCCTTTAAACTATCAATTTAAATATGAAGTTTTTGATCATTACTCCTCAAAATATTATATCATTTATTCACGCTCATTAGATGTAGTATAAGGTCTTATACTTATTATTTTAATTCATCCCATCATCAATCATCTCTCCTCAATGACTCACTTCTATGATTGCTAACTGATGGTTCAGTGAAACTTACACTTGCACTTCAAAATATACAAACAGCTGAAATGAGACTAGTCCGTAAATGTGATGTCATGGAAACTAGGACATGTATCAGACCAAGTAAAAGTTCAAGTCATCTGTTTAACATCTCTAATAGCAGGGCATTTGCAATGGTCAATCTCACTAGATTATAAATATTCATTGTCCATCTATGCTGCCTCAAACAAGTAGTTTCTTCAAAGTTGCGCACAAGCAGCTCTTATATAGTTTTCAAGTATACCTTTCCAGTAGCGGCTGCGAAACAGATCAAACCATCCTGCCTCTGGCTCTGCTGAACCCTGACTACCTGTTGTTAAATCATGCATGACTTCAGCAACTCTTTCTTTCCCATATAGTGTTCTGATAGATTTTTCAGCATCAGAGGTTTTCCCTTGCTGCAAAACAATTATGTTTAATCGACAACAAAAAAATGTATGTCAAAGATACAAAATAAGAATACTCCCAGGGATACCTGGGCTAGCCATCGAGGGCTTTCTGGAGAAAAAGCCATTCCCAGAGCCAGCAGAATAGATGGTACAGCTGCAATACCAAACATTGTCCTCCACCTAAAAATTGAAAAGAATTTAAAAAGAATCGAAAACTTAGGGACAAAGCTAGGAGGATGAAATAATATCACTAAGCCATAAAATAGAAATAAATTCTTTAAAGATTGTTGGGTAGTCAGTTTTACATTATTAGAATAGATTCTCAAATTACATTCTGTTGACATGTTAACCCAAAATTAATGCAAAATTCTTCCATGCAAAGTAAACATGTGATTTACCAATAAGCCAAATTCAATACTTGGAATCAAGGTTCAAACTGGATGTTCCAAGCCAGCAAAAATGGAATTAGAACAATGTAGCCATTGCTATGAAAAAGTAACATGAAATAGACAATATTTTCATCCACTGTATTCTACTGAACAATTAAATCCCATTTACAAGTAGTATGGTGATTAACTGATATCCCTTTATTCATATAATTTATTCAAGCCCATGATATATAATCAATCAAATTCCAACAAAGACAGAGGATGAACTAGCGGGAAGGGCTGCAAGGTGCATTGCATTGAGGGAGAAGGAAGATATACCACAAAGGATTTCCTGCCAGAGGTAACCCAGCCAGCAATGCAGCAAGAATACCAATACATATGAAAAGTTGGTTTACAGATCCAAGTGCACCACGGATTTCAGTTGGTGATATCTGACACATTATAAGAGTTAGGAAGTGATATTAACAAAAGGTTTCACAATAATGTAAGGAATAAAGTCATAAAAAAGTACCTCAGATATGTAAAGTGGCACAATAGCAGATGAGATTCCAATTCCTATGCCAGCAAGTAAGCGGCCAATTATCATAGTCTGCACACTTTGGGCTGTAGCACTGAAAGAATTTGGGTCAACTTGAAGCGTTAGTTTCAGTAAATTTACATCAATACAACCTACTGAATGAAAGAAACAGACCATAAAAATGCTCCAATTGCAAGTGGGATTGCATCTAGTTGGAAAGTCCTAGTTCTTCCAAACTTGTCAGCCAATGCTCCCCCAGTAAATGAACCAACAGTGGCACCAGCAAGTAGTGTGCTAACAATCCATCCTACTCAAATTGATCCACGGCAGAATTTGTAAGTTAGCTAGTCTAAAAGAAAGATTTTCAGCCAGGAAATCGTTGCTTCATTATCTTGGAATATATAGTTGTTCTGATAAGTTTAATGAATAATTGCTTGCAAAAGATATATTTTAACAAGAAAGATCAAAAAAGAGTAAAAGAGAAACAGAAAAAATTTGTTTAGGGCATAAGATGTTTTTGAATATGTACAAACTTGCCTTGTAAAACAGTGTTTTCGGCGATCCCAAGATCCTTTGCAAGGTACTCCAAAGCACCATTTACGACCCTGACACAAACACATAAAGCACCTTCACATTCAACAGTACAAGGAACTGTAGCATATTAACAAAATTCATGGACGATTTGCTTTAAGTTCTATAATCAAATTTTCACTTTTAGTAACTACTCTTTCTCCACTAAATTCTTCCCAAATAGTGGTTCAAGGTTATTACAAACTGTTTGCTGACATGTCTAGAGAAATATAAACAGATGTACAAAGATAGTAGTGGGCAATGTTAAGAAGAGAAAGAGCAAGCATGCCATTTCATTAGTTAATGCAAGCCATACCCTAGATGGTAGCCAAATAATATAGCTCCCAAACAAGCAACACCAACAAAGGGCAAAACAGTTCCAGTAGATTTCCCTTGAGATTTGATAGGAGTGGCATCCTCAAGGTCTCCACCTGAATTGAATTTGGAATGTCACTTAGAAATTTTTTGACAAAAAAACTTCATACACTCAATTTTATGATTTTGGTTAAGTGCGAACTTCTTGATAAATGGAAAACATAACAGTGTACTAAACACAACACAAATGTAGACACAACACAAATGTAGACACAACATGGAGGTGTCAACATGATCAGGATCAGTAATAACTGTCTTTCAATGGCAAAACTAAGATAAGTAAAATCCCTAAAGAGCAAACACTATTTCACAAACAGAATCACGTTACACAAGCAAATAACATAAATCAATTAACCAGGAATTATAAGAAGACCACGCCCACAATCAACTCATTTTAAGGAAAAACGAAATAAACTACTTTAAAGAATAACATATAATATCACAAATAAACGAATTATTCGAAATAAAAAAGAATGACAACAAACGTACCAGAGGCGAGAGCTCTGACCGATCGGGCCTTGACCGAGGACCTAACCAAGCTATCAACTCCGCCCCTGGCACGTGCGAGTTCTGCCCCCATAGCCACCGAACCAGAGCGCAACGGTCCAAAGCCAGGTACCTTATCCCTCACTCGAAGATCGATATTACTCAAGGTCAAAGCTCCCTTCTCAATCCTACGGAAACTGTACAAGCCCCTACGGTTTTGGACCTCAAAGCCGGCGCCCCCTTTTACTACGTAAGTTGACGCTTGCATTTTCAGCTTCAAATTAACAATCAGTCAAAACAAAAAAAAAAAAAAAGAATTTAATGCGTACGGCGAAAAGAAAAAGACGAAAAAAAATAACGAAACCGAGAAAATTCAAGGTGAAACTAGAGTAAAAATCAATACATGATTAACAAAAATCAGAGCGATAAAATTAATACAGCGACATTAAGATTGAAAAAAAAACGTTTCGTCAATAAGTGAATATCAAAACAAAATGCTATTAAATTACGGATGTAATCATACGTTTAAAGCTCTGAAAGAGTGAGACTAACACGAATTCAACCAAAATCAAACAGAGATTTTGAGTAAATTCGTGCTCGTTGCAGAAAATATTACCGAATTGGAAGTCCGAGAATAGGATGAGATGATCTCTAGTTGTTGGTTAGCTGTGATTCGCTCAATTGTTACTTAGAGAGACACACTTAGGAAATTCCGCAGAGAGAAAGGAGAGCGGAAGGGGAAGACACTCGGTGCTTTAACTCAGCACTTACCCATAAGAACAAAGTTGGTGAAGAAAAAAATGAAATCGTCGGATTTTCATTCCTATAATTTTTATTTTTTATTTTTTATTTTTTTAATACAAAAATTTTGAAAAACAGTCAAATTTCTTTTTCGGATTATTACGTCATAATATAAATTACATTTTTTAAAATTCGAAAAAGCAAAATAAATATTTAAAAAATTAATATTATTAATATAAATATTTGTTTTATTCATTTATTTATTTATTATTGCGAAAATACGATAAATTTCATAATTTGGCCACGTGGATTGGGATTTTGGATTAGATTTGGGGATTGATCGCGTGGGTGATGTCGCGGGTGCACGTGAGGCTGCCGGTCTGGGATATGATCCAGTGCTTCTCTCATATGATCCAGTCGTTGCAGTCACATGGGCATGTAAAAAAATTGAGGAAATAAAATTACTTTTCTTAATTAATTTTTTTTTTTACTATTTCGGTAATATTTGAGAGTTAATTTAATCATAAAGTAATTATTTTCATTATTATAAATTTAAATTTAATTTTCAAATTTTAATATATTTTAAAATAAACTATATGTTATTAATAATCTGAGTCCGATATTATTATATGCTAATATCTTATTAATTAAAAATATCATGTTAGAATTATTGTCATTCTTGATAAATATTTTAAATCGATCGTGTGAAATTATTACAATTAAGAGTGCAAGCTTCATATTAATATATTATAATAAAATTCCAATGATTTATTATATAATATAATATTGATGTTTATAATAAAATGATACCACTTATACGATAATTTATTTACTAACACATTTATATTTTTATTTAAAAATTATAAATTTTAATATTATTGAAAATATAGATAAAATATTTATTATTTTAAAAAAAAATAAATATTTTATTGTAACAGTCCGAATCTCAATGTCGGTGGATACAGACGTTACTACATTAGTTCAATACACATATCTTGTAATGAAATAATAATTTATTTACAGATATATGAAATATTTAAATTAATTTATAATTCTAAAACAGAAACTAATAAAATTTTATTCACAATCTTCTATTGATCTTGAAATTTTCTTCTCATATTCTCTTATTTGAAATGGGGTGAATTTCAGTCACTTGTGACTTGAGGGAAATTAAACTAAACGTTTTTTTCTTGAAGATTTAACTTGAGGGATTTCTGGTGCCACTTTGGGGACTTCCACCTGGATGGGAAAATCTTCTCCCACACGGGGGATTTTCCTTCCGGTCGGGGCATTGGCTCCCACTGAAAAAGTGTTTCTCTCCATTGAGGGATTTTCTCTCATTCGCGATAATTTTAATTCGAGTAGTGGATTAGTGATGCAGTGTATTTTTTTAAAAAAAATTAAAGAACGTGAAGCCTAATATTAATAAGCCCAAGTCAGTGACAATTCAAATTGGGCCTTTGACGAGTGACTTTCATCATGAATTATATATTCTACATGTATCTCTTGATTTTCTTGTATTTTGTTGGTTTATTGCAATGAATCAACAAAAAAAAATTGGCCAAATGGGAAAAATTAAACTTAGAAAATAAACCACTATAATAATAATAAAAGCATAATTGCATAATTGAAATGCAAGTTCTATTATATTATTATTATTATTATTATTTCGAATAATTTATTATATTATATAGTCAAGCTAAATTTATACTCAACCTTATTACTAATTTTATTATATGACCATTTTTGAGGAAAAAAAAATATATACATATATATATATATACTATAGTAAGATCAAGTGAAATGCAATAAAAACTTGATTTCTATAAAAAAAAATATGTTACAATCTTTGTTAATGAATATATAAATTAATAGAGAGTGCCGAGCGTTGGGTTTTAATCAACCGTGTAGGGTTAATACGTGTGATTATCGTGCATAAATAACTATCAATTTATTCGACCCGTTTAAAAGTGATGTGTTAAGATTAAACGGATATTGAATTTTAATGCATCGAATAAAGCGTGAGTCTTTTACGTACAGAGATCAAAATCTTATTGCTGATTTTACGATGGATCGAATTAGAAATAATGAAAACTTAATTATATAAATAGACGGTTATGGTTTACAAATCATACGTTTAGTTTTTCTATTATGTTATTATGTTTTCAGAAATAGAGGTGGTGCGATGACTCTAAAAAATCACGTATTGATTTGAAAAGTCTACTACAAAACGTACGAATTTCTTTCGTTATAAATTCATGTACACTTCCGTTTCAAATCTAATCTATTTGAAATCCCTACACCAAAGTCCTATATACGGAAATGGATATATATACTCGGTATTATATGTATTACTCTTAGATTAGAAACAACTAATCTAGATGCATGTATTTTAGAAACAAATATGTAATTTCGTGTAGTTAATACTTTTTGGTTATGCAACTTAATGTGGCGTCACCATCACATAGCTTTACATATATATATATATATATGTATATGACATTTCTCAACAGTAGTTAGCTATGTCTATACATTGGTTGTCATTATCTGTTGATGTTGTGTCTGTCGGGATTAAGAATTAACCTTTTTACTTAATTAGTTGGCAGTCCAATCAAAATATTCTTAATTATCCGCAATCTTCTCCCTAAACAAAAGAAAATTAATTATGATTAAGGCAATAATTAACACTAATACTAATTAATTTCTGCACATACTATACGTGCTTTGGTGAATAACATCGGTCCAAATTAAAATTGAAATATTAATTAATTTCTAATCAAACTTTTCAAAAGATCCCTAAAATCAGGTGCATAATCATTTCAAGAAAAAGACAAGTACCTATGAAGGAGGCAGTTGTAAATCTCTTCAATCTCTTTCTTTGTATAAAGTATGAAATTTGATTAATTATAAAGTTTTAACCCAATAATTATTTTTTGTTTTTTTGAAATTAGAGGGTCAATTTTGGTGTTTTATATAAGGCTAAATTTATTATTATGTATGTATGTATATATATATATATATATATAATTATATTAAAATATTTGAATTAATTGGTCTCCGTTAATTTTAGTTTAATAAATCTTTTATATGAATTAAGGGTCTTCAATATCCTATATTTATTAATTAACCCACTAATTAAAAAAGAAATGGAAGAAAACCACAAGGCAAAAATATTTAATTTCAAGAAGGCACAAATTGTGTTGCAACTACAATCAATATATGTTATTGATTTTTTCTTGGAAATTATATATGCATGTACTACTAATTTAAATTTAACCAGATTATGAAATTATCTGTGTTTTACGATTGCGTTTATCAATTTACTTGATAATTTATCATATTATATTATAAATAGTATCAAACGTTTGATTTTGATGTTAATACTGGTTAGTTAAATTAATATATGACTCGTTCTTGTGATTGAAATATATTATAGCATTTATAATAGCAACTAAGTTTCGTGGTGATAATTTTTATGATTATAATGACTTCATGTAACGACCCCATAAATCTAAAAGGAAATATATAATAATTTAAGTGCGGAAGCGAAATAAAATGTTAA